GGGGTGCACAGGGAAGGGGTAACATGGTGTAAAGTGCAGGATGGTGTTGGGGTGCACGGGGAAAGGGGGTGCAGGAGGGGGCACAGGGAAGAGGTAACGTGGTGTAAAGAGCAGGACAGTGTTGGGGTGCACAGGGAAGGGGTAACATGGTGTAAAGTGCAGGATGGTGTTGGGGTGCACGGGGAAAGGGGGTGCAGGAGGGGGCACAGGGAAGAGGTAACGTGGTGTAAAGAGCAGGACAGTGTTGGGGTGCACAGGGAAGGGGTAACATGGTGTAAAGTGCAGGATGGTGTTGGGGTGCACGGGGAAAGGGGGTGCAGGAGGGGGCACAGGGAAGAGGTAACGTGGTGTAAAGAGCAGGACAGTGTTGGGGTGCACAGGGAAGGGGTAACATGGTGTAAAGTGCAGGATGGTGTTGGGGTGCACGGGGAAAGGGGGTGCAGGAGGGGGCACAGGGAAGAGGTAACGTGGTGTAAAGAGCAGGACAGTGTTGGGGTGCACAGGGAAGGGGTAACATGGTGTAAAGTGCAGGATGGTGTTGGGGTGCACGGGGAAAGGGGGTGCAGGAGGGGGCACAGGGAAGAGGTAACGTGGTGTAAAGAGCAGGACAGTGTTGGGGTGCACAGGGAAGGGGTAACATGGTGTAAAGTGCAGGATGGTGTTGGGGTGCACGGGGAAAGGGGGTGCAGGAGGGGGCACAGGGAAGAGGTAACGTGGTGTAAAGAGCAGGACAGTGTTGGGGTGCACAGGGAAGGGGTAACATGGTGTAAAGTGCAGGATGGTGTTGGGGTGCACGGGGAAAGGGGGTGCAGGAGGGGGCACAGGGAAGAGGTAACGTGGTGTAAAGAGCAGGACAGTGTTGGGGTGCACAGGGAAGGGGTAATGTGGTGTAAAGAGCAGGATGGTGTTGGAGTGCACAGGCAAGGGGTAACATGGTGTAAAGAGCAGGATGGTGTTGGGGTGCACGGGGAAAGGGGGTGCAGGAGGGGGCACAGGGAAGGGGTAACGTGGTGTAAAGAGCAGGACAGCGTTGGGGGTGCTCAGGCTGCCCGGGGCAGGGGTCAGGGGTGCCCGCAGAGGGGGGGGGTCGGGTTGGGGGGGGCTGGCAACCATCTCTCCGTGTGCCCTGGCCCCGCAGGCCTCCTGCCCGCTGCCACGCTGGCGCTGCGCTGCATGGACGGCGTCTTCCTCTCGCCCAACGAGGATGAGTTCGTGGGCAGGATCGCGGAGGAGCTGGAGCACTTCATGCTGCAGGGGCAGCACCGCAGGTGGGTGCTCTGCCACAGCACCCCGGGGCGCAGGGCCCGGGGGGTTCCTTACGCAGGGTGACCCGCACCCCCACCCTGCCTCGGAGCACCCCGGGGGGGCTCTGCCCGCCGCCCGGCTGTCCCTGCTCCTTCCCGCTCGGTCCTTCGGGACGCTGGTGCCTTTTCCGCCGTCCCCCTCCTCGGCCCGACGAGTCCTGATGAAGAGTTTTGTAATCAAAACCGTTTCCCCTCTCCACTGGGGGCTTCCTGCGCGCCCGATCCTCCTCCCCGGCGCTGAACTCCGTCACCTCGGATCGCTGCAGCGTTTGTCTTCGGCCAGGCTGGGTTTAACTGGACCCAGTTCCTGATCCAGTGACCTTTGAAACCCTTGAGATGGCTTAAAGAGGGTGTCTGACAGGAGCAGGGGTGGGATTGCTTCCTGCCGCCTTGTGAAGACCTTCAATATTTTATTTCATTGCTTTTTAAAAAAAAACCGAACGTTTGGCAGAGAAAGTACCTGTGTAAAATGCTCAGGAACGAAACAAATTCTAAAAATGTGTCTAAATGCGATGAGATCAAAGATGGTGTTTATTCAGCTGCTGGTTTCTGGAGGGTAGTGGGACTGGGGAGGCCGGGGACTGGGAGACTGGGACCAGCATTCTGCTGGTGCTTTCCAGCCATCCCCAGCACGGGTACAAGCAGGAGTGTGAATCCCAGCTGCAGGACTGGGCTCCTGCTCCACCTCTGTCTAGATGTTGAGGATGGAGAGAGGATTTTGGCTCTTTAATACCAAGAAATCCTGCTTGGATTTAAACCCTGCACTGGGTACAACTGGGGAAAGAGACGTTAAGAAATTCTTGCTCCTTTTCCATCCTTCTCCTTCCCGATGCCCTCGGCCCCTCTCTCGTTCCAGAGTGCTCCTGTTCCCGCCTCTGTCCAGTCGCCTCAGGTACCTGATCCACCGGACCGTGGACAACGTGGATTTGTTGAGCAGCTTTTCTGTGGGAGAAGGATGGAGGAGGAGGACAGTGATCTGCCACTCGGCCGTCAGGTGGGGCGCGGTCCATGGAACGGTGCTTCTCTTTCTGTGGCCGGGGGGGTGTTTGTTCAGGCTGACAAGCACAAGGTTTGCGTGGTGTGTCTCCCCAGAGAGGAGGGCGGCTCTTACCGACAGCATCTCCCAGTCATTGAGGAAGCAGAGGGTCATTTTTTTCCCCTCTGTTGGCTTGTTTCTATGTGCGTTTGATGCTTTTTCTTTTCTCTCTTACTTGTGAACATCATGTTACTGCTCCCTGCTCACGTCTTGCCGTTCTCCCAGGCTGCCCAGCGAGACCAGTGACCAAAAACCCAGCAACAACCCCCCGAGACCGCAGCGACCTCCGCAGCCGTGGGGCCGGGGGGGTCGAGGCAGCAGGCTGCGGCACGGCCCGGAGATGCACGGAGACAACTCTCGAGCCTGCGTGGGCTCTGGCAGGATAAAAAGGCCTCCCAGGAAGAAGCCCGATAAAGCCCTGTACGTCCCCAAGGCGATGCGCAAGAAGGCAGAAGGCGGGGAGCACGAGAGCCCTGTGGGGAGCGCTGGGTGCAGGGGGGACGAGGCACAAGAAGAAATCGTCTGCCCTAAAGCTTCAGCTGGGGACGCCCAGGAGGAGCTGGGCAGGTCTGGAGACAGCACAGGTGGTGTCTCCTTGGCCCCTGGCGAGGAGAGTGTTTCAGGGAAAGATAACGATGATGCCAATGATGAATGTCCTCCGTGTTGTACGGATGTCCCATCCTTGGAGAACAGCAACGATTTCTCTGGGCAGGAGAGTCAGGATAAAGACTGTTCAGATTCTTCCGTACACAGTAAAAACCCAGTTGGAGCAGAAGAGCAAGAGTCAAGCTGTGACAACACTACTACGGCGGAAGGGAGCAAAATCCTGCGCCAGGTGCAAGCTGGAGACCAAACGGGGCGGGATGCTGGTGTGTCAGAGTGCAGCAAAACCTCCTCCCTGCCAGAGAGCCACGGCAGGAGCGGCTGGACGGACCCGGCTGTAGAGTCGCTGACGCTGGAGAACCAAGATAAGAGCTGTGCTGCTGCCAGGAGCCTGGAGAGCGCCCGGAACGTGTCGCTGCCTGAAGAACGGAGCAAGGACTTTGTGAACGCTGGCGCGGTGGAGGGGGACAAGGGCTCCTCCGAGCTGGAAAGCCAAGAGCAAGAGTGCCCCAGCGTTGTCCAGGTGGAGCAGAACCAGAACCCCCCAGAAGCCCAAAATGAGCCTCTGGCCACCCCCGAGCGTGTCCCTGGTGCTGAGCCACCACCCGCCGAGGCCCAGGGGCGCTGGGTGGCCGCTGCCCTGCAGAACCACAGCAGGAAGGTGCCCGGGGAGGAGGAGGAGGAGGAGGAGGAGGAGAAGGAGCGTTCAGGCTTGGCCAACGCGCTGTGGCGTGAGCTGCACTTGTCTGCAGGAGATAAAGAGGAGAGCGCGGGCGGCCGCGGCCTCGAGGACGACTGTACCGCCGAGCTCTTTGCAGAGGTAGAGTTTTTCCGGGGGGTGTTGCTGTGGGGAGAGACTTCTGGGGAACAGAGGGTGGCTCAGGAGTCGGCCCCAGGGGAAGGAATTAGTCTGTGGGTGGGAGGAGAGTCCCTGCGGCTGCTGAACCTGCTGGCAGGAGTGTGGCTGCAGAAGTGGTTTGCAGGGACTGAGGTGGGGCCCTGGAGGATCGTTCTTTGAAATGAAACATTGTCTGATTTAATTTTTTTTTTAAACTTTTTTTTCTTTATTATTAACATTCTCAGATTGTGGGTTATTTAACCGTGAAGGACATAAGCATTGAGAAGATCAGCGTTGATTATTCCAGCTACAGAGATGCACAGCTCAGCGAGGGGGATTTCGGCCACGTAACTGAAATCTATGACTTTTCCCCATCACTGAAAACGGAGAACCTGTTAGAAGTGTTCTCGGATTTCCAGTGAGTACCAACCCGAGAGCCTGGGCGCATCGGGGGCGTGGGGGCAGCAGCATTCAGGCTTGACTGCACAACAGAATCTGAATTCTGAATGCTAGCTTCGCCTTCGTGCCCTTATGTCTTAGACTTTCTGTGCCTTAAAGGACACTTCCCTGCAGTTTACACAGGATTTAAAACACGTTTTTTTTCAGGGCTCTGTCATACAATTACCTACATGCAGGCTTGCTTATTCCTTCTGCTCTGGCTTTGGTGAGAGGTTTTAGGTGCTTCCTGAGAGCGTCTTTGTCATTGTGTCGTGGTGCCTGAGTGAAATCACATGCTTACATAAGTCTTTGCAGGAAAAAGGTCTCAATCCTGCTGTTGGAGATAAGATTTATTATGTAAATATGGGGAACAGAGCCTTGTGCCAAAGGGAGTGACACTGGATTAGTGGCACGACCAGGACAAAGCTCTGACAAACGGCAGCTCTGAGTTCCTGTGTCACTGCTGGCAGAGAGCACAGACGCGGTCTGGAAGCACTCTCCCTGTGTTCCTCCCACCATCCTCCTCCTCTTTTGGTAGACCCGGCGGATTAGATGTGAACACTTCACCTCTTCGGATCCCTTAAATTAAAAAACATGATTTACATTTTAAATGAGCTACTGTCTGTGCGCGTTTCCTCTCATGTTTTTTTTTTTTTCCCCCTCGCTGTGAAACTGAGCTGAAAATTGATGGATCTAATCTGAGCAGTCGATTGTATTTCTGGTGCTGCAGGAAAACCTTCGAACTCCCAAACTCACGTTTTCCACTGACGCTTTATTAGATTTTCACATCGGTCTCTTCACCCTGGGCTTCGTAAACTGCTTTGATAAATCACTTGCTTTTTATTGTAGGTGTCTGAGCAGTTGGGTGGTGTTTGTGAAGCGCTGCATAAAGGACAAACAGTGTTTTTGTGTTATAAGACAGCCCCTGACGTTGAGGTTGAGTTTGGCCAAGGGTTTTTTGGGGGCAGCTGATGTGGGGATGGTACATTGTGGCCTTGAAAGGGGCACATCCGTTGTTCTCATCCTTTCCTCCTCTTTCCCCTCACCTAAAGCGGGTATAATGCTTTGAAAAGCAGCAGCTGTCTACATAAAAATCCAAAGTACTCTTGATAACTCGGGGTGGCTGTTGGGGTTTTTACCGTGTGGCGTGTTTTTTTTTTTTTTTCTTTCTTACTAATGAATATTATTCTGTTGTCTCTTCATTTTAGCGAGAGTGGCTTCAAAATCCAGTGGGTCGATGATACACACGCCCTGGGAATCTTCTCCAGCCTGTCTGCAGGTAGGGTCACTGGGTTCGTGGTCAGGATGGAGGGACCCGGGCGCTGCCGGTGTTCCTCTGCTCCCCCAGCCCCGTCTGCAGCCGCGTCCCGCGCTTGGGCCACGCCGTTGCCAGAGGGAGTCACGGTTCAGCGCGTCTCCCTCCCTGCACGCTTCCAGCTTGAAAGGCTTTTAAGGCTTGAGAAGCTGGAATTGCCGTGGTGGTGTGTGGAAACTGCTGTGCAAGAACAGCAGGTTTTTAATGGGCTTGGAGAATAACCAGGGCGGCTTTTGTACAGGGAGCGACTTGCGCTGCACTTCTAGAAGTTCATCTGGTTTGCCACTTCTCTTTTTTTTTTTTTTTCTCCTCCTGTAACTAGACACAATTCCTGTGAGCACACGATAACCCGGGGCCCTCAGGCTCCAGCAAACTGACCCTTGCGGGGACAAACACCCCAAGCTGGGGTCAGGGCTGCCCCAAGAGAAGTTTCCATCCACCAGCAGACGGAGCCCAACAGCTTGTGCTGTTTTCTTGGGCTTGAGTCTAATAGTGATGGAGCTGTCTCTGAAAACGTGTTTATATTTCCCTGAAACCTGTTTATATTTCCCCGGGACTCTCCTGTGTGAGGAATAGGGGGTGTAAGCCTGAGGTGCCCAGAATGAGTTTAGCTGCTTTAGTACAAGCCCTGAGAGGCCACAAGAGCTGCTGAAGCTCGCATGATTCGGTGTCCTCATGCCATGGACTGATTTTTATGATTAAAGCCACCAATATTTAGGCTGCTAATTTCATCAATTTTTGTTCTCTGAAGCATCTCAAGCCCTGGGGCGACGTTACCCTTCTTTAAAGATCCGACCGTTGATCCACGCAACAAAGCAGAGTAAAATCAAGGCACTGCAGCGACCAAGTAAGACTTTTTTGAAATTATCATTATTAGTATTTCTTTCTTTACCAGTCTTCTATATCCTGAATGGTCAAAATAACAAGTTAAATGGGGAAATATATGTTAAGGACCAGTATTTCTTTTTTTTTTTTTATAGCTTTATTGGCATTGCAGGACAGCGAGCTGTGGTGTAGAGTCCAGTAAAAGCCTGCAGGTGCTTTTTTTTTTATATATTTTTTTTTACAGTATTTTCAGCCAACTCTATCATAGTTATGTTCACTGACTGCATCAGTAATGCTGGTTTCTGCCTGTTTGCAGCAGGCAGGAGTGGTTGGCACAGGTGAATGCAACAGCAAAACCAAATTGGCCGAACAAGAAGGATGTTGTATTCTATTTACAGGAAAGAGCTACAGCTGGTACCTGCACTTTTCAGTCACTCTTTCTCCTGCTCTGCAAGGACTGAATCAAAAAAGCATCAAATCCTGTTGCTTTTTGTTTTCAGCTGAAAGTGGTTTGCTGAATTTCAAGCTTTAGTCTTTCTTGTGGTTTTTTGTTTTTTTTTTTTTTTTTTGCTTCTTGTGTAAAGTTTTAAGCGACCGGTTGTGTTGTTCAGCTGGGGGGGGGCTGCAGGAAGACAAATCTCTTACTCTGCAGGGTTAAAGATAATAGAGGAGACAAAACCAACAGCAGTTACATTTTGTGGTTGGCGTAATTTTATTCAGTATCAGGTGAAGGAAGAAATTGTTAAGCTTAGCCATTAACATTGTTTTATTTATTTTATTGCCTTTTAAAATCATATTGTAATCAGTTACACTTGCCACAGTAAAGAAATGCTGTGAGTCTTGTAGCAGCAGAGACTTTGCTGAAGGTACAACTACACCGTTATTCCTACAGTACATTGCAGTTGAAACAGATTTCAGGATTAATGCTTTAAAGGGACACTGTCACAGTTGGACGTTCCTGAGTTTTTAAGATCGCTAGATTGAAATGAAAAGGTCAAAGAATTGGATTTGTTCTTGCACTCTCCCCTTCATCTGTTTTCATTCCCACTTCCTGATTCTTCCTGCTGAAGCCTATTGGCACAATTCTGAATCAGGTCAGAAAATCCTCCTGGGGAACATTTTATATAAACTCTGTGTGTATTCAGTTTAAATAGCAATTTTTTTTTTCCAAATACAAATATTTTTTTTTTATTTTTATTTAGCTGACAGTGTCTCTCTTTTTTTTTTTTGGTTTGTTTTTGAGCTTTGTCAAGAAAGAGTGGCAGTTTTCTTTTCCAAGCTGTGGATGCTTTGAGTCTGCCTCTTTTTCTTTAAGCTGCTGATGGGCTGCCTTTATTAATAAAACTTCTGAAAAAGCAAGCAAAGCCCCCATTGCTAACTGAATAATAAATTTGCAAACAGTTGCTGATAAATGATTAGGTAACTGCCAAATCCAGACTGCTGTGGACTTGGTAAAGTTTTGATGTATGAATTCATTTCTTGTAAGATGAAACTGTAGCAAGCCAGGTGTCTACCAGGAAACGGAGGTGACTGGCCCAAGGGCTTTCCCAAAAGCATTGGATATATTTAGCTGTTTTTTTAAAAAAATGCAGATTTTTTTTTCTTCCTTGCTGTTTTCTAAGGTTTTAGACTGCTGGTTTTGAATTGATCTCAATTTAGACTCACTTTCCTGTGCGTGGATAAATGGGTTGGACTATGTGCTATCACTTTGTTCTCAGAGATGGGACTTGCTGAATTTTGCCAGGAAGGGAGGGGGAAGCTGCTCGTGGAAGCAAAACGGGGAACAATTCTCTACCACTGCAGAAGAGGCCTGGAGCTTAATTGTAGCTAAATAATTTTTGAGCTGTCACTGAAAAATCTTAAGTAGAAATCTGGAGCCATGTCTTTTTAAAAGAAAAGGCAAGTTACTGGGTAGGGATAGAACAACTCGCTCATGCTCTGCAAAGGAACTAGGGAAATAAAATCAGCCTTTTTGTCTGTGAGTCCTATGATTTAGCCACTAGCCTTTTCCCGAACAAGCACTAACTTCACGATTTTTCACCCCTTTTCACCTAGAGCTCCTTCACCTTGCAAAAGAAAGACCCCAGACTGACACGGCTGTGGCGAAGAGGCTGGTGACCCGGGCCTTGGGGCTGAAGCACAAGCAGCAGGGCGACCCGGGCACTGAAGTGCTTCTGCCAGAAACCTTGGACCAGGAGGAATGAACCACCTCGGCTCAAAAAAAAGATGTACAGATGAGCATGGCTGTGATATTAAACTGCATGCAGAACAGTGAGTTGCCACAGGGGTGTTCTCTTATGGATTAGCACTGTCTTTTCTTTCTAAAGTTGGGAAGGGAGAAAGTTATTAATTAATCCATTTTAATTAATAACTATTAATGAGACCTTGAGCTCAGGAGGGTTGCTGTGAGCTCTTCGTTATGGAGAGAGTCTTGCCCTACTCCGTTTCCAAGCATCTGTTACTCACTGGGTCACTTGCAGAAAGGAAGGCTGCTTACAGAAAAGCCTGCTCTGTAATGTTAAAAAAAAAAAAAAAAAAAAAAAAAAAAAAAGCATTAGAGTAAGGGAATTGTATCTCATTGACCAAAATTCAGCTGTAAGCAAAAGCAGAGCACCTGCAGGAGTCAAAGAAAAATCCGTTTGTTTACTTTGTTGTAATGTTATTGTTAAAATATCCCACAAAACTGACAAGCAGTGAATGCCAGTGAGTTTTGGGGTTTCTCCTGGTTTACACAGTGTTTAAAGAGTCTGCCTTGCTTTGTTGCAACTGCTCACAAGGAAATTGTAATACACTGATGAGGAAAAAAAACCACAATTTGCCAGTTCTGCTTCGCCCAGAGCCTGGTGTTCAGAGGTGCTGCAGGACACCTGGGTGTGACATCCAGCACAGCTCAGCATCTCGAGAACAAAATGGAGTTTTCCAACTTACAGGAGGCTAAAAACCTTTGCTAGATGCCACCATCTGGGCCACTGGATAAACGACAGAAATACTCTGACAGGCATTAGCAAGAGACTTCTGCATTCTTTAAGCCTCACAACATCCCTGTGAGGTAGGTTATGGAGAGCACAAGTTAGATGCGGGCGGTTTCGATCCCCCTGCGGATTGGAATGGTCAGCTGTAAGAATTCCCTTAACTTCAGCTGCTTGTAGAAGTCTTCCGTACAAACACAGAGGGAGAAGAAACTTCAGTACCAGCGATTGTGAACAAGGCCCTAAACTTTCATGGAGTAGAAAGAGACAAATGGCATATAAAACATTTTTCTGGGTAAAACACTTTTATTCAAGTAGCTGTGTCTGAAAAATCTGTAGCAATGCGTGTCCTCAAACAAACAGAGGAACACACTTAGCACCATTGTGAATTTACCGAGTGTAAAAATCCTTTGGAAGACAACTTACACCGATGGGTCTGTGACAGCACAGGTCCAGGTCCCTGATGATGAGAGCCACCAAGTTACCTCTGTAAGGTACACAGTGATGATACAATGCCTTCACTCTGTCTTTTCTATAACGGATGAATTTAGTTAATATCCAGCTTAGAAGGTAATATTTAGATGTACGTAGAATCTGTTGGGTGAACAGCTTACTGTGTAATGGAAATTCAGTCCAGTGAACTCAGCAGCAGGAGATCTGCAAAGGTCTTGTAGGTGTTTGGGGGGAGGTGGAGCTTCACAGAGCCCTGACACGCTTGGAGAAAGTTCTGCATTAGCTGCTCCGCCTGAGAGGTTGTGTTGGGAGTTGATTGTTGAACCCAAGAGTTTCACTGCGGTATTAAATTATGCTTTATACTGTTCTGCTTAGAAAAAAGCTGCTCCTTTTTTTTTTTTTTTTTTTTTCTCCCCTTTCCTGTATTTCTTTGCTAAAACGGCGTGGCAGTGCTGAGGATTAGCTGTGTTCAAGAAGCAGCGTCACAAACGGAGGCGTTGGCATCAACGGTGCCTTCAAGCTTGAGTCAAAGAGCTTAAAGATACCGAGATTTAATGCCTTGAAGAAAACGAACCGTAAAGGCTTAGGTTGTTGGTACCCAAACAAAGGCAAATTGTGCTTGCTGCAGCCTGGACCTGTGTCTGTGAGTAAAGATGGTGCTGCAAAGCGGAGGGAGAAATCTGTGTGGAGAAGGTTGGAATGGCGAAGATACGGAGCCAAGCAGAGTTGAAGAGCCTGCTCCTGACTACCTCAGTAGGAGGGACTGGAGTTACAGGAGACACGGGGTGGTCTGAGCACCTAAACTGGGAAGGAAGGCATCTTTAGAAAATAATTTACCTCGCTATTTTTTTTTTTTTTTTTTCTTTTTTTCTCTTTTGTGCAGTGGTTAGGGAAATCACCGAAGCAGGAAACCTCGCTTCTTTAAATAGTGGGGGGGAGGCGATGCTGGTCTATCGGGTGGACACCTTGTTATTTGTGAGTCCGCTGAAGTGATCAAACTTCTGTTCCGTTTCCTCGCTGAAGGAACCACCTGGGGAGTTCACAAAAAGAGCACGGGGTTGAGCAGGAGGTAACAAAAGGCAGTTGGCAGCACACGGGGGTTTTGTGCAATCTGCAAAAGGTGCTGTGAGAAGGGCTCAGAGCAGGTACCAGAGGAGCAAAGATTTTTCCTGGGCCAATTCATTTAAGTGTTAATTAAATCTTACCCTAACTGGAACAGGCAAGAGGCCCCGGGAGTACTGGGTCTGGTCTTTTATGTAGCTGGAAGACTAAACCACACATTACCCTCCATTTCACTAAAAAATTAGGTAATGACCAGCAGGACCTGTGAAATAGTCTCCTCCTTGGTAAGTGGGTTCTGCTTACTCCTTAAATAGGAGCATGCCCTTGCTTTGTGCTAGTTGAGACACAATGAAAAGCTAAGTACATTTCTTTTTAAACAGAAATATTTTCAAGCTCAGCTGGAGAGCCCATCCAACACTTAAGTGCCTGTTCATCCAAATAAAGTGGGTTTGGCTTTTCTGAACTAGGTCACAGTCTGCACTGTGACACACGAGACAAGTATTTTCTTCAAAAAAACCCCAACAAATTAATGAGAAAAATCAGTGGTTACATGGCTTATTTTTTTTTTTTCCAGGAAAAACACTTCTTGAAGAATTTGAGCCAGCTCTGGAAATTGTTTTCACCACTGGTTTTATTTGGAGGCTGGCAGGCAGTTGCTGTTAAATTGTTTTTAACTCAGGAAATGTATTATCTTACGAAGACCCCAACTTAATTAATTTTAAAACGGTCTTGACAATTGCCTGTTAATGCAAATTTAAGCTAGTTTGGCTTTGATATTTCCAAGACCAAAAAAATTTCCAAATTGATAATGTTTTACGTGTATTCACAAAAATGCAGAGTTTTCCCTCATTCGGGGGACAGCAGAGCACTTTCATTTCTGGCTTGAGCAGAGGGCTCTTCTCCACACATCACCATCCTTGTTTGCTTTGCAAGAAAAGAAGAATTTTAGGGTCTGAGGAGTCAGTGCCAGGCTGGTAATAATTTGAGTCTGGGACAAAGGTGGGGTTGTGTTCCTGGAGCTCTTCAGGCACCCCGACCCAGCTCTCAGGTTGTTTCCTTGTCAGTGGAGGGAAAAAC